CTGTTTCTCATTGTGCAAATTACAATTTCCTCCTCCCAGAGACAAGTTCCAGGCCCATAAGGACCGAAGCAGTCAGTAACGAGCTGAACATCACTGTGAAAATGCTGCATAGCCATGGGAAATACCCACTAAAACTTCGTGGTGCTCCCACACCCATAGGTTTCATGCCTTTGATGCGTCTTCTTTGAGAAGAGCAGCAGTGATTCCAGTGCAGCACATGCTTGAGCATGCCAACCTCCAGTCCCCCAAAGCAGGAGCTGCTAGGACAGGATACATGCCACCAAATGAGAAGGGGGCTACTTTGAGGTGAATTCACTGCCATTTTAGAAAACAGTTTGTCTGTGAGAAGTGAAATCATACGAGGGGAAACAGTCTTTCCTAGACTATTAATCTGTACATCATCTCCTGTCAGCTCCTTCTGCCATCTGCTGACAGGAAGGCACCTCCGTGCACCTTGTATCCATAAGGCCATGTCCCTGCCTCTTCTCACAGCGATCTCTAGAGATCCCTTCCAACCTCAACCAAGCTGTGATTCTGTGGAGCCTGGGCTGATGGCAGCGGTTCTGGGCTGCTACTTAGTGCCCAGGGATGCTCCTGTGTGAGAGACATCCTGATCCTGCACTAAGGTTGGCAACCTTGGTGAGCRTGAGGCTGAAGGTGCAGAGCAAAAGAGAGGTTTCCCACCACTGAAAAGAGACACCACCAAACAGACCAGGTCTCTGGGATGTTATTGTAATGGCATGGACGTGTTATCAAAACGTACTGCAACTTTTCATTTCTGTGTTTGCTAATGAGAACTGGTAACAGACGCCAGAAGATGGAGCCCATTTCTCAGCTAAGGATGGAGTCTGTTAGAAGCAGATGACAGAAAGGCTGCAGACTGGCAGGACATCAGGGCCAGGCCAGGCTTCAGAGGATGTCACAGGGAAAATAACTTGCCTTGATAGCACAAGCCTGTGCTGMAGCGCAGCTGGTAGTAATGAGAAGGAAAAGCTCTAAGTGCAGAGATCTGTCTTTCTAATAAAATGAACTGTGAACCTCAGCTTTGGCAAAACGGGTACTAGCTAGAAGGCTGTTATAGGGGATTAGAAAAATCCTGCCTCACACAGGCTTTCTTTTTTGAAGGCTAGAGTACATAAACAAATAAGTAAGATGTAGGTATCACTGAGGCTGAATACTTTAGTGTACGTTTCTGTGCCTGTAATTTGATTTTCTGTGTGTGGTTAGGGGATCAATTCAGTGACAGTGATGTCTGCAAATGGTCTCAGGAGAGGCGGCAGCTCGGCAATGAAAGGAAAAAGCCTTTGCTGTGTCACACCCAAGGCTTATCCACACCTGTGTCCCCTGACCAGCAGCAGCTCGTGCAAGACTACTACGGGAAAGCAAAGAAACSGAGCAGGCACGCAGCCTTAGTGCCCCTGCTACCACCTCTCAGCGTCATAGCCTGGCASGGGTGAAACAGGCAGCTCTGTACGAGGCAGCTGGGGCGCCGAGCAGCGCCCCGCGCCTCGCCGCAGGGCCGCCATGTCGCGCCCCACGGCCCGCGAGGGGGCGGCCGCGCCGCGCGGCAACGGCCGCGGGGGGGGGAGCCGGGGCGGCAGCGCCCCCTGCCCGCGGGGCCGGCAGCCCCCCGCGGGGGGGGGTGCCCGGCCCCGCCCCGCGCGGTGGCGGTTGGAGCCGCAGGCGGGTCGCGGCTGCCGCCCTTCCCCAAACGCTCCCAGAAGGGGCAGTAGCGCGAGGCCCCCAACGCTGCAGGGCTCAGTCAAGCTTTGCCAAGCCTGCGCTGTTGTTTTGTCCAAACAAGCAACAGTTTCTGGTCAGGCTGAGCCCTTACCCTGCGCCCCTGCATCCCTTGGAGCCGCCGTGTCCCCGGTCAGGGAGGGACCCCCGCTTTGATGCTTGTGGGACACAGGGTGCCTTAGCCCTTAGTGGCGCCCACAGGAGGGGAGGAGCAGGCACAGCCAAGCTGTGATTGAGAACAAGCCATTTCAATGCACAGAAGCAAATCTGCCCAAGGAGGAGAGTAAAACCAGAAAGGGAGGCTGGGGAGGTGTAGGGCRCACAGCTACAGCAAGGCACCAAGCAGGGTGCAGGGGTTGCTTTCCCCTCTCCTGGTGCAGCAAAAGGAGCACATTTCTCTGCCTCTGCTTTCCCAGCTGCAGTCCATGCTCAAGCCAGATTCRTCCTAGGCTGCTAGGAGGCACAATAACACTATGTAGAAAAACTGTATTTGAAACCAAACCCTTAACTACCCCCGCAGGCTGAGGTGAAGTTACATTAAAGTCACCATTTGCGGCTTTATACACTAGAAGCACAGCAGCTACMAGAGAAAAAAAGGTGAAGAATGGGGAAGAAGGGCTCACAAGATTGCGGGCAACATTGAAATAGAACACTGAAATACATTTAGAAAAAAAAAGTTTTTCTTTTGAATGCTAGCATGAATAATCCACAGAAAAAGTAAATGAACTGGCAAGGGAATTCTACTCAACAAGCTACTCTGAGGAGATGCAGGTAGTTTACTATGGGACAAATCTTTGAAAGAGTACCAAGRGAAAATACATGTTGTATAATTTAGGAAAGAACAACACACACTTATCCAGAGCATTTTTTTTTCCTTCATATGTACCACAGACTAGGCCAGCCTGTTAGATTACTTGCAGGTGGCAGCTCTCGAGCAGCATTTTGAAKCGCATGCTGGTGTGCCTTGCATCAGGTGCAGCCCTAGGGAGGGTGCTGCAGGATCTCTCTCCTCCATGGAGAGTTGCCCAAATACTGTGTCTTGACTAACTGTAAGAGTGTTTCCTCTCTTTCCCACAGCAGCTTAACTTGTCTCTTTATGTAGATTCAGGTCCCACTAGTGCTCCTGCTGACTCCAACCAGCTGGACTGGGTCCTTTTGCATAAGAGACTGGCGTGGCAGCTTGCTACCGAGACAGGCAAAGCGAAAAACCAGCTTTTTACACTGCTTACAGTGCTTATGGTTTGACTGCCAAACTGAGCTCCTGTGTGTTGCAATCGGATAGCAGATTCATTTGCACATTTATCTCTAATGAAAGATGTCAGTGACATGTACCTCTTGAGAAAAAAAATAATCACACAATTGCCTTTTTCTATCCATACTTTATTGCAGGTGTACATATAATTATTTATATTTTATTTTAAACAAGAAATTCCTTTCATGGAAAGGAGAAATGTTTACCTTTAAAATACAGTGATTATACCATGAGTATATTACAAATATATACAGTGTCAGCTAGTTTCTAACATCATCTAATAAATGCTTACATTACCCTCTACCAAACTAATTAAAAACAAAATAATAAAAAACCCTAAGTCTGAAGATAACAAAAGCTACTACCATTAACATTTTTATATGAATACAAAAACTTGCATAATAGATATTCACAGTGCTTGTAAGATATTCATTAAATCATTTTCAGTCTACACACGCTCAAGGAAAGTGTCCAGTCTCCCCCTTCATCTAGATATGTAACATACAGTACTGGAGGGAGCTGTGTAGGCAAATGAAAGACGACAGTCAAACTCGGAGAGTCTTCCTTCCCCACAAGCCATGAATAGATACCTCTCTCCCTCTCTCTTCCCACTCCAAGCACATACAGGCAGCAGAAGCAATGAATGCACATGCAAGAACCAAACACATTTCTTTTTAGGCATTGGTATACTTTGTAAACCAGCAACACTATACAGCATTTTGGAATAGTGGCAGCAAGAGTTCAAGTGTATACAGAAATATTGTTTTCATGTTATCTCAACAGAAATAGTCAGAGTTCCAACACCAGCTCATTCACACCAATTTAATGCTTGATGAAGGGAAGCAGGGAAGCAGGGAAGAATAAACAACCCAAGCTGATTAMGCATTTCAGCTAAATTTCAGCAAAGCTGGTTAGACTTTTAGCAGGTATAAATGTGATTGCCTTTGAGAAAACAAGTGTGAATGGCTGTGAGCATATGCCATACAACAGCCTTCCAACAGCTCTTCCCACTTTAAGCCTTTTTTTTTTCCCCCCCCTTCCCCCACCCCCGTAGAGGCTGGAATACRTCAGCATATGTGGGAGAGCAACAGTTAAGCAGACAGGTCACATCAAAACCYCTGATGCTGGTGCCTTTCATTTCAAATAAGGCACCAGCATCGTGGCAGGCGGTTTCGCTCTGTGGAAGAACGAGGTCGCTCCCCACAGCACAGTCACAGGGCTGGCCGTGTGGCCTTGGCCATGTCCCTCYGCATACACTAGTGCCCAGCAGGCCCCAGGTAGCGGGCAGTGACACTGGCCTGTTCATGAGCAGAGGGTTGATCTTAAACCATTTAGATGCTTTCAGGAGAGTTTGTTTTAGAAACAGGAAAAATATCTTCAGTATTTTCTAACAGCATTTTTGGCTGTGTTTGAAATAATGGGGAAAAAAAATGCTGGGAATCAACTTGGGAAGAAGGGAGAGGAGAAGGAGGGGGTAGAGAAGCAAATCAAATAAATGCTCATTTATTTGGCTTCTAGAAAGTAACAAGATGCTTTTCTTACCGAACAAATGCTTTAATCAAACAGCATAATCATAGCTATTGCATCAGTGAGAGCCAGTATACTCAGCTCCATAGGACTCAGTCATGATGCACATTCTCTTGTCTTGGTGCACAACCCCACTGCACTTCCACCATCGCAGGCCCTGCAGCAACACTCACGCTTGCACACATTATCCAGGACTAAACGAGACAAAGTCACCAACAACCACCTGATTTGTCCTTCCAAAGCAACTTTCTCCWGGTGAGACTTGCCTCCAAAGCAAAGGGTAACAATTTTTAAGGAACAGATTTATTAAAAATAAACAACATAAAGTGTGATTCAAAGTAAGGAGTGATCATGCTTGGACAAATCTTCCAGTCACACTCCCATGGTCAAGAGCCAGTCAACCGGCACCATCATCTTGGCTCTTTCTGAGGAAAAMACAGGTCACTTGTTTTCTCCTCTTCCCCATCTCTCCTAGGATATAGGAGAGATASCAATCTAATCATGGAAGGCAGTAGTAGGCAGTTATTTCCCACATTAAAAAAAATGGAAAATTAAAAAAGAGAGAAGGTAAAACAGAAACCTCACACTGYATTTGGCTGGATGCTTAAAAGAAAAACAACTAGAAACAAGGTCACAGTAGAGTCTTGTGCCTAGCAGAGCAAATGGGCAACTTTTGTTCATTACAAAGAGAAGAGACTGAACTTTTCCATACCCACCTCCTGATAAACTCGGGGTATATTTTGTCCTCACAGCTGTTGGCAGTGTTGAAGCTGCACGAACTCAAGGCAACAAATGTATTTGTGTGGTAGCATTAACATAAATGGATCATAGCATAAAGGCAGAAAGCTAAACTGACATGGACTGTTTCCTTTCTTTCCGATAAATCAATATTGATAGTGTTTTCTTTAACAAGTCAGTATCAGTTCTGGTCCACTTTTGGAGGGTTTGACATCAGATATGTCACTGCTAATGGTGCAGGCTGCTTCCATTTTCTTCTCAGCAGACGCTTCAAATGCCAAATTAAGTGCTGCACTCCAGTTAATTTGCCCTGTAGTCAGGTCTGCAGAAGCGATGTCACTTACTGCTTGCGGAGCTGAGTAACAAAGCTACTTAGAGCCTCCTGCAAGAGSCAGACTGACATCCCGCCTGTTAATGAGGTATATATAATCACTTCTGTTTCCACCATGAGCCATTCCCTCATGTGGAAAAGCTCCACTCTCATTACACCACAAACTCCTCCGGGAGCTGGTCCTCTCCCAGGAGATCCAAGGAGAGGCAGTTCATGGAGCGCTTCCCGTAAAGGGCAGACTTGGTTTTGCAGTCCGCCGTGGAGTAGACGCAGCCGTAGAGAGCCAGCTTGTCCTCCAGGGCGCAGCCGAACGTGTAGCTGTGCGACGTGTCCGACGAGAGCGCGGCGCCCAGCGGCCGGTGCCGCCGCTTGTACAGGCGGACGTCGTCCAGGCTCTGGCTGTGCTGCTCGCTGCCGCTCCTGCCCCTGGGCGCTCGGACCTGCCAGGTTAGCGGGACACGCGTGAACAGCAGCGATGAGCTCAGACACAGCCTAGCATGCTGGCTGYGCAAGCTCACGCTTTCCAAAACTGTTCTCCCATTCCTTCAAATCACCCTGTTGGCCTTCTGAAAGGCACTGCTTAATGAAGAAATTGTGAACCATTAAAAAAAATTACAAGTACACTCTGCTGCCTTGCTGTGTTGAGCCAGATGCTGATCTTTGTACACTGTGTCCTCAGCATCCAATAGTGTGGATGAAATACTTGATCTAATAGATCTAATGAACTGACACTTCTTGGTACAGGTGTCAGCCTCAGTCATGAGTGAAGTATATGTTTAAAAAACCAAAATGCAACAAAGAAATCCCAAGTGCCTGAACATACTAGATGAGCAGAAAGAAGTCGAGATAGGAACGATGCAAATAAACAGGTTAAGATGTACAGCATTCACCAAGGGCCACATACAGTTCTATCTACATAGCATTTAGAAATGAAGAAAACAGGCATGGAACCAACAGTAATTCTCGGATGCAAACTTTGTTGTACACGAGCTGTAGCAGCTTCACTTCTATGGAGGAATTACACCTGAAAAATTTCCAGCTTTCTCAGCTAGTTGTTCTTGTTCTTCCTCTTGACAATTAGCTTTCATGTGCTAATTTTAAGGCCGATTTCAAAAATACAACGTTTAAACTGAAAAACTCCTGTAAGCAATACAGAAAACTGCCTCTCAGTCCTGCTACTCTTCCATTCTGGCTTTTAATTAAAAAAAAAAAAAAACCCACCACCACACTCTGATGAAACCCTATAACCCTATGCTGGCTAACTGTGCTCTCAGGAGCAGACAGACACTGTCTGGTCCAGCCAACAGCAAGAAACACAGTCCTGTAGTTTTTAGTTACTACTTAAAAAAAAAACATACACTTTAAAAGCAGGATGTTCGCTCTCTGCCCTGCACATTTCAGTTCTTTCCACTGAAATACAGAAATAAGTTCATTGGGGTTTGTATTACACAGCATTCATCTTTGGGGAGAAGATAAACCAACAATTACAAAGTTAAATAGCCTGTTAAGTGCCAAGTAAAAATTCGTTATCATTCTTGACTGGGTCCACTAGGAGGCATAAGAGGAAAAAAAAATCTTAAGTGACTGAAGTTTTTGATCAGAAAAGAACTTGGAGTAAAGCAAAAAAGGAGGAGTTGATTTTTTTTTTAAATCCTTTGAGCCGATAAAGGCTGATTTGGATTCCAGGACAGAAGAAACAATAGAGCCATTTAAAAATATATCTACCCCTGTGTGTACAGCTCCAGTTTGAAAAGTAATAATGTTTGGCTTAAAAAAAAGAAATCCACACAACATAATCTATGATATAACATATTTTACCAAACATGGTTGCCTTTTTGCAAGGGTTTGATAAAAATAAGATGTTGACAACAAAGAGCCCAGCACACACAGTATAATCACACAAGTTCTAATTACTATAACTTGAGCGTCTGGTTTTGCTCCAGTGGGAGCTCCTTCTAGCTTCAGGAACAGGAAAGTGGATCAACTTTGGAACACATGCACCAAAGCATGGATGGTCTTGGCTCTACGTTGCACAGAAAATGTTGGCCTACTCTACATTTCCTCTCTGGAAGCCTAAAGGAATAAATAGCTGRTTTGCTACTGCTGGTTTCCATGCTGATCGCTCCAAACTTCTTTATGCTTTTATGCACTCAAACGCTGCTGTTACCCTATCCCTGATAGGGTTAGCTGGCAAACAGCTGTTTTCAGTTACCCTCTTTAAGTCAGTTAAATCCAGACCAACCAAGTTCACCTGATTTACAGCTGTCTCCATCACACTGGAAACTGGTTGAATGCCCACACACAAGCCCTCCTGCCAAGCATCTCTCCTTACCTGATGAAGAGATTCCACRCTTTGACCTCTCATTTTTATTAGTGTAACTTGCACCACAGACAGTGATTCCTGATTAATAGCTGCAAAGGGAGGAAACAAAGAGACAAGTTTGAGTTTTGTTGGCTACTGCAGAAGTCATTCTCATAAGCTACCTTGAAGCAGCAATATTCTATTACTATAACTCGTTCTCATATACATCCACTAGCAGCCTCAGTGCCCTGTGAGTTTGACTAACAAGTACTTCTTTGCCCTTAAGAACCAAAGTTAGACTCTGCTCCCCCTGCAAACCCACAACTTTTCAACAGCTTAACCACATGCACTCACCTCACTACATGTCATTCACATGCTGTAAGACCAGACAAGTTCTGTGTGAGCCTATTGTGCAGCCTTCCCTGTAAAATGAGCCACAGGACTTCACCTGTAATTCCTGTCCTGGCCCATTAACCTGTGCCATTAATTAGCAACCTGAACCCTTTAGCTGTTTTGTGGTAAGATTTTAAATTCCTTCACTACCAAAGGTTTGCCTCTTTTTTTTTTTTTTTTTTTTGTCATCAACTAAATATAAATAAAACATTTTAAATTTGGAAAAAGGAGACCTTGAGGAGCAAACAGGAGAGGAGCACTACAGTACAGGATGCAAGCCTTTAACCTCCAGAAGAGCTGGCTTAAAATCTAGTTGTAGTACAGCAGTGAAGATAGAGCTTTCTTAGATGCAGAAAAGCACTCAGCAATAGCAGAAAGCCATCTCACCTTGGCAGCTAGCAGCATCTAGACGAAGGGAACCAACAGATTCTCCCACAGTGGCCTCCTCTAACTGGTCTCCCTCTAAAGGCTCATCTACAGGTACCTCCTCAGGCTCATCTACTGCCAGCTCAAGCTCTAGCAGGAAAGAGCCACAGGAGAAGGGTTAGCATTACACTTCTGCTCTAGGATGCTTCACATTCTCTTACTCCCCATGCTCCTACAGAAGACAGCAACATTCTTAAAAGTTGTCCTACATCTCCAAATTCCTTACCATCATCTTGAGAGTCATCTTCAGCCCTCCCTTTGCTGCCACTGTCAATGCCAGAGCTACCGTAGCTGATGGTTGAGCTGCAGGACTTTTCTTTCCTGTGTATCCTATCAATGCTGAAGGGCTCATCCACCGACATTTCCACAGATACCCGGTGCCTGGAGTCAGCCTCGATGCCCGACGTGTGGGAGCTGCCGTGACTTCCCGTGGACTGGCGCGAGAGACGGTTGTTCCTCTGGCTCCCGCCGCTGCTCCCACTGCCCCGCGAGTTCTTGTCCGATGGGTCCAGGTCCATGTCTAACGTGTCACTGATGTAGGACTCCCGATAGCGCTTCTTCTCTAAGAAAGACAAAGGAAACCAAGGGARGCTAAGCGAGACAGAAGGAATGGTAGCAAAAAAGAGTAAATTCTGACACTGGCAAAACTTGGCAATTAGGAAACAATTACTGCAGTTACTGAACAAAGACAGGGAATTCTGCATTCTGTTCGCTCAGATACCTGGATGCCCAGCTGGATATTAACAGACTTACAGTCTGCATAGATACAGTAAATCCAGTGTCTCATGAACTAGAACAGGCAGGTATAGACAGTTATGGTGTAGAAAATATTAGCTTACAGAATAAAGGTGGGACAAGACACGAGTTAACTGCATAATTCTGGATAAGTTCTCAGTGTTTAAAACAGCACACTGACCGTCCCTCTAAAAGGCCACTGATGTGTGGAGACAGCCAAGAAGAGACCCGCTGCAGGGGCTGCCTTGCTGGCACTCACTGCTGGGCTAAGGGTGAAGCTTTCCTCCCGATTTCTCCTTGCATGGAACAGGCTACCTCCTCATACAAGAGGAATTACTACTGGCTGGCTTCTATTAACTTCTACTTCCTGATGGACTTAAAGCTACGGATAAAAGTCTTACAAGCCCAGAAGATGGAGAACACATTAATGGAGAATGCAGGGAAGCATAGCCAATAAAGAACTGGTACACACAGCAGTCARAAGAAGGCTACCAAAAAAMAAAACAAAACAAAACAAAAAAAAMCAGAAATCCTCCAAGATAGGATTTATGCAATGCATCTGGAAACAGGGATTGGGGGAAGGCAAACTGAGAAGTTTACACAAGAGCCAGGGTCCCACAGAGGAGAGAGAGGGAAAGAAAACACACAGGGATGGGATGCAACGATTGAAGTMTCCTTAGAGGGATACCAGGGACTCTCAAAGTTCAAACATCATCCCTATGAAGGKGATCCCATCAGAGAAGTTCTGGGAGCCCTTATCTGCTCTCTGACTGCTTCTGGCACCAAACTGGTGGACATTACAGACTAAAYTGCAAACACTGTTTAGTAAAGGGGCACACAAAGACACAGGCTCACAACTTGCACTGCTCCTTGAACAAAGCAAGATCTTATCTCAACTGAAAGCTTTTTATCTGAGATTACTTTATCTCAGGGGCATGTGTCAAATGTGCAAAAATGTGACAACCCAGAGAACAGAGAACTCCTCTTAAAGGGAGGAACTAAACGRAAGATCAATCTAAGACCTCTGTTCTCACTGTCTTCTGTTAAGGCAGAAATACCACCAGTTAGAGAGCAGCCTCTGCAAGACCACAGGGAAAGACTAACATGCCACACTTTCACTGTTATCACCTGCTCTCCTGTCACATACCTTCAGCCTCCTCCAGTTTTTGGATTTGCTTCAACACCGGCTGGATATTCAGAAAGAGCCGGTGGCTGTTGCTGAGGAGCTGCAGCAAGTGCCGTGACCTGAAGGGGCAGCCTGTGTAGTAAACCAGCTTCCGTGCAGAGGGCAAACCATCTGGCTGGATCTCAAATTTTTTCCCCTGCGTAGAGTAGGGGAAATAGCAATACCAGAGCCGTGAGCAAGAACAGTTCTTCAGTCATGTAACTAACGGAGAAGGCTGCAATCTCGTGCACACGAGCAATAGAATTTGAGAAGGCAATTTGGGGAGGCCAGCAGCCACGCCAGGTCCCGGGTTGATGGACCGGGGCCAGATGGCCTCCATTCTGTCGTACTCACCAGAAACGCCAGCTTCCCGATGTGCGACCAGGGAAAGTCGTAGAGCAGCTGACGAACGTGATTCACCTCCTGCAACACATCAAACTTGGAGTGACACAGGGATTGACAGCTACAGGGTGGAGCCAGGGATGTGCAAGGAATTTGCAGACACTTGGGAACGCGAGATATGCGGAGCCTGGCTCTGCAGGCCGCGGAGCTGTGACGGGGGAGCGCAGGAGGGCCGCAGAGTTGAGCACGGCACCAGGAGGCTTTCAGGGCAGCCTGTTACCTGATAGATGTGCATTCCTCTAAGGGTCAGGCCCAGGATAACTGTCGGGCGGTCCTCCTTCTTATCCTAAGAGAACAGAAGAGCCTGGAGTCAAAGGTTAATCTACAAAGACCACACTCCTGCTCTGGCACCTACTGCAGGAGAGGTAGCAGGACTGCTCACCAGGCAACTGTCACCAACATTTTATCCTGCTCGTTTACTTTTCATTATGCTTCTAAAAAGCACATTGTCTTTTTGGCCGTGGAAAAAAAAAAATCTCTGCAGCAAGAAACACCTAAGTATCCCCCACGTTGTGGGTATGAAGCATTTCACCAATAGGAAACAGACAGCACTCCAGACTACCCTGCACAGGGAATCCTGCAGCTTTGAACGCACGGGCAGTTGCTGCTCAGAGATAATTTGTGGAACGTTCCCTCTTAGGGCCATGTGCTGCTGTCCCCATGAACCCTGATGGTTCTCCAGGAGACAGAGAGCCCAAAATAGAAGGATCTCTGTCCCCCTGCCACAGCGTACCTGATCCCACCCAGGTACTTGCTGGACCACAGATGTTCACCAGGCAGGAGSGCGGTGGTTATGGGGACCTTCTTTTTAACCTTTTGATCTCACTGGAGGCAGTGAATGGTTTAAAATACTCCAGGCTTAGCAGGGAAACTGACTTGTTTTTCCTCATGCTGTACCTTGATATAACATAATTGCTCTCTGATAAGGACATTGTTTTGCTTGAAGACCACCCTCCTTCCCTCTTCACACTCCCTACCCAAAAAAGAAAAGAGAGAGGGGGAAAAAAAAAAAAAAAAAAAAAAAAAAAAAAGGAAAATCCCAAGCTTGCTCATTTCTGCTGTCATGATAGGAAGAAAAGGAGGAAGAAGATTACTGAGGAGTAAGTTTTGGGAGTCAAAGACATCAAACTTCACACTGGAATTTTCTCTCCTCATCTGTCTTGTCAAGGCATCACATTTATCTCACCTTCTACCTACTCTTACTACCCATTTCCAGTAGAAGTCTATTTTAAAGTGACTAAGAAATAGTTTCTGTCTTCCAAAGGTAAAGAGCTTTCATAATACATCTGCTCTGGAGGAAAAATGCAGAGCTTAGGGCAGTCAGGTTTTTTTTTCCCCAGACTCCCCAATCCCAGGAGACATAAGGATGGTTTGAAACAAGGTGACAGCTCCTGAAATCTTAGGGCAGCCAAAGCAGTGGCACTGAAGCCTTCACCCCAGCACCTCTGTGCATCTGATCAGGAGCTCTGCGACGCAGGTATCACAAAGGAGGAACAGATCTAGCCACAATATTCCTGCATGCTAAACAGCAGGTAGAAAAGTACATTGTGAATTCAACAACACACAAAGGAGTTAACAATGCATAAAATAAGTTCAAGTCAGGAATCTGGGTATTAAGGGCAACCAATTTCACGCCCTTAGTGCCTTCAGACATAAATTGTATCATGTCCTGCCAGCTGGATTTCTTTTAGCCTTCAAGTGTAACCCACACTCTCTTATGACTGCATCATTAATAGCATTAGTATCAAAGACAAAGAAAAGGAAGCTACGGTTTGTGARGAATTTAAACTAACATTGGATTAGAGACCAAACCAGAACTTATTTCCTCCAGAGGACATGAGACTCTTTTCTGTGCTTCTGTGCTAAGTAGAGTTTTGAGATCTGGTCAAAGGACACATATACCTCCCACACAAGATGCTGACCAAGTAGAAACAGCTAAAGAGCCTAACTCTAAGTCTGAAAGTGGGCTATTTCCTTTTGGAAAAAGTTCCATGCAAATCCTAATTGCATGAGCAGGTTTCACTCACCTAAGCGAAACAGAAAACATCTCTTTAGTCCTATTTCTSTCCCTAAACTCTCTTAGCACATAATGTGCATTCAACAATCTTGAGTAAGAAAAGGCTGAAAATTAGAGTCTTTCAGTACCAGTAGCAACAAATAAACAACATGAAAAATACAAAGTGTACCCATTTAAAAGAGTGAGGAAAGTTTAAAATAGGAAGCATTTTTTTTAACCTTCTGCAGCCTGTAGAAGTGGACAGGCACATCTTCCAACAGGCAGGACTCCTTAATGAACTTCAGCACTGCGTCCTTAGCGGTCATGCCTTGCTGTTCTCGGTGCATCTCAGGGGCATGTTTCAAGATGTAGTCACTCCCCCTCTTTGCAATTATCTAAACCACAAGGGAAACAGACAAGTCAGCAACTCTTCAGTAATCCCCATGGGAGGTAGTTGTGATCAACAGCAAGGGCTAGACTGGAGCTGGAGGAGGTTCATATCTTCTCTCAAGAAGTTAGTTCAAGTTCACCCCTACCTCCCTGGAGAAAAAGCATTCAAAGCAGCCCAGATGGTAGCGATGTCTCCAGGCTGACTCCYAGATGCCAAAACCATAACAGATTGGCTATGGGGATTGTGTCCACTCTTTTTATTCTTAAGCTTAAAAACATGGGAAGATAAAAAGATATTGCTCTGAATGCCACCACAATCAGCAGCAACWTCCTCAAATGCTACAGAAATGCAAGGTGGTTAGGGTTTTATTTTTAAGACCAGAAGAACATTATGCCTACTTAGCATTCTCATCCTCAAAAGAGGCCAAAACACTACCTCAAGGTATTTTGTACCCATCTAGAGCAGTTGGCAGACACATGGCTTCCTTAAGCAGCAAGAAATCCTGCACTGGACYTTTAACTCTTGTCCTGCAAGCAGCCACCTCTGGTTGCACGTGGTCTCTACAACACTGCAGTGCAGCCCAGACTCCTTCTGCACCACAGAGGTCCTTTCTAGACTGGGAGCAGCAGTGAGAAACAAGGGGCATTTTGGCTGGWTTGTATTCGTAAACTATTTTGAACATAAACTAATTATGAATATTTCTATTCATAAACTAGACCCCATCAAGTACCTGAGAACACCCTGCCAMGAGCAGTCTCTCCTAGCTTGCAATATCAAAACTTCATCAATCAGTTTCCCCTTCCATTGAGTGAAGCCCCTTGTTTCATCCATCCTGTAACATCCCTGCCCTTCCCGGCAGGCTGGTTCACATGGCTACTTGTCCTCCYAACAAGGAAGGCTGGGCTCTCTCAAGAACCACGTTGATGCAATCGGCTTCGCAGCACGAGCACCAAGAGCAGCAGCAGCTCCCCAGCCCTGAGCTGGGCTGCCCGCTTGGGGCAGCTCTGTCTGCCCCCTCGCACAAGGCTTGGCACAAGGCTTGGCTTGCAGCAGCCCTCGGCTAAATGATCTCAYGCACGTGTTGGTGTTGCGGAGATCTCCCACTGTCTCCCCACCGCAGCCTGGGGGCAGGGAGAGAAGCGTCCCCATTACTGCCAGGTTCTGCTCTTTGTAATGATAAGGCACCCACGTGTTGGCTTAGGGCTGTGGCTGAGCGCAGGCGAGCTTGGCTGTGCCTCAGCATTTGCAGTGTTTGCCAGATGAGCAAGGCTCTGCGATAAGATTTCTAACTGCCCCATAAACAGTGCACATCACACCCATCTTTTCCAGACCTTTGTAAACTACCTAGTGCCAGGCACTCGATAACTAGGAGAGGCACGGGATGAAGGCCTGGTGTGCCAGAGAAAGGAACATTTCTGCATAGCAAAGCAGGTGGGCTAGGACTCATGCAAGAGTCTGTGCCAGCTTTGCTTCCCTGACACAGTCTGTCTACTGCTCTGAACTTTCTCCCTGCACCGCCCTGCAGGGCAGACTTGCAGGGGCACACATCCAATCACCAGAGAATCCAGGCTTTTTGGCAGCTATCCCAAGGTCCCAGCTGCACTAACACCACTGCTATCCCAAGGTCCCAGCTGCACTTCTCTGAGCAGAGAAGGGAGCTCAAAAACTAAGTTGGGTGGCAGGACAGTCTGTCTGGTTCCAGGGAAATATCCTTCATCAGCAGATGACATTGAGCGGTCACCACTGATCCACTGTCCATAACAAACCTAGTTTCTCCTTCGGTTTTCATGGTCATTGAAGTACTTACAGACAAGTTTCTTGACCTTTTCACTACAAGAACAGACTTGTAGTGAATTTGCAGTTCTCAGAGACTACTTTTTAAAACTTTTGAGTCACAGCAAATTTGCACTGGTCCAGTGACTAAACCGACTCTTGGCCCACTAAGCTGTTTGCTGCTKTTTGAGGGCACACTAACATGCACATGATTATAAACCAACATGAAAAAACATATATTTCCAGGCCCTTCCCTTTTCTCTTTCTACAACCAGGCCCTATATAAATGGCAAAGCAAGCACCAAAGGCACTTTAACGCAGTACTACCCCTGAGGATTTGGATCTAGCTTTCCAACAGGTAAACATTAAAGAGCTAAGACCAAAGAGAAATTTACTTAGCTTCATGGCCCTGAGGTTTTCTATAGATCTTAGGCTGTGCAGATCTTGCCAATACCATACATACAACCCTTTAAGTCACAGAGATTTAAACAAAACCAGCTTTGTTGTCAGAGTCATTCATTTGACACCAACACATTTCCTCTCTGAGGAGAGCATGGACTGTCCACCTTGCTCAGGAGGAACCCAGGAGGCCTGGGCAGCTACATTCAGCGAAGAGAGAGGATGCAGCTTTGGAGAATCCGGGCAAAGCTCTGCCCATCCTTTGCAACGGGAGCCCAGGGAGGTTGTGCGGCACAATCAGGTGTCACCTTTCCATAGCTCCTGCTGTCTACACAAACTACTGACAGAAAGATACCTCTCAGACTTACCCATTGTGGGAAATAAGCTTGGGGTTCAAAATATTTGCCAGCATGGACTTCCTCCTTGTAGTTGCCCAAGTCTGCCTGCAAGCTGTAGGCAGCCAGGAGGAAGTAGATCTCTTCTTTGTGGTTGCACCGAGACCTCAGGACCTGCTCCTTGAGATGGCAGTAGTAGAGCTGCCTTGCCACCTTGTCACTGCAAGACACAGAAAGAGATTTYCTTGAGCAAGATGAAAAAGGTCAGGCTCAGAAGAGGTCTCTCAAATTCATGCAAAAGAAGTAATTAAACTTTGATACTCTGATGTGTGCCATTGTCACCACAACTAGGCACTTTCAGACAGCCTCAAGCCAAGATCAATGCATCCTCACTCCAGGCTCTGAACAGACATGGGAAGTGATAGCCTCTGTCTGTARGAGCAAAAGATATAAGTATTTAAGGCAGAGGGTAGATGAAAGATAATCCTATCACACCTGTTCCAGAGACTGACTACCATCAGGCACTTTGTTTTTTTCTGGAAAGATTGTAGCACTGTCATAAGAATCAACCACCTTGAATCCGTCTTGCTTCTTACACACCTGCCTGCCTTTCCCCTCTAAAGCTGGCACTGCTTTTTCATTTCACCTTGCCTTAGGCTCAAGGTGCTTTTCAGCTGCCAGTTCCTGCAAGGTAGATCAAAAGAGACGGGAGCCTTGGGCTTCCTTCTGTCCCTTTCCTTGAGCCTCTAACCAGGGATGGCTTAATAATGCTAACTGCTAAATGCCATTAATAGTGCACACGAGCCCCATTAGGGGGGCACAAGGGAAGCAGGGCACTGACAGCTTCACATAGCTGGAATGCTGCACTCTGAAACTTCTTGTACTGGTGCGTGCATGGAGCTTGAAAGGTGTCACATACCTAACTGTGCATGGCTCCAGAAACCTCTCCGATTAAATTACTAGTGCAAATGGGTATGAAGGGGTACAGAATGCCGGGCTAYGCTGTCTTTGCACCAAAGGGCTAAACTAAATGAAAAACACCTAAAAATAAACAGACTCCAGAAAACTCCCCTACATTCAAAAAGACAGACTGTGCAGGGGAAAAAAGAAAAAGAGAGAAAAACAATAAACTTCGTTTTAGATGATGACAAATGCCAAAATAATAAAATAATGCTTTATCTTAATTCACGTGAATAYTCTCAGTTCTTAATAAAAACAAACACCTGACAGATTTTAACTCATCGGTGCAGCAAGAGTGATTGTGCTGACTGCACTTCATATTCCATGTGAATGGATCCCACTCGCACACAAAATCCTAACTTATGAAACTCTTTCTTTTGTCTGCTTCCAGTTGTCCTTTCATTTTGAGGAGCAGGTCACACAGAACTGCTCAGATACAAAAGAAAGCCAAAAAAATTAGGTGTTCTAGAGCACAGATAACAATTTTTTGTATATTTCATGTTTGTCACACTGTAGGTGTTACCAAAAGGTTGTTAAAGGTATTTGAATACTGTCACCATTCAACTTGTTCTCTAGACACAGAGAAGGAAGTGTTTAGAATTCTCCTAGGAATAACAAGGAGACTCCTGGCTGCAGTAAGATCATCTGAGATGACCTTAAAAAAGAAATCAAGCTGCCATATTAGTAGCCCAAAGAAGCAACAGGTAGAATCATATATAAAAAGAATACAGAATTTCTGTCTGGCAAACCCAAAATATCCAGTAACTACAATYGTCAAGTTACTTAGATGTAAAATCAAAATAAAATTAAAAAAGGGGGCTAGGTTCAAAACAATGTACTGCGGAGAAAATAAAATCCTAAACAATTACCTAAAAGACATCACTTGAATGTTGGTTTTATTATTTTTCCAGAGAATGTACTGGCAGAACCATTTGGGCAAATGTCCATAAACTACTTTTTGGGTCCTCACACAGAGATGAGCTCACCAAAATAAACGTGATTTTTCCTGCTTTAGGAACACAATGAGTAATTTAGAACACAGGTAACAAATGCAGAAAGGAACTTACCTTATCACCCTTCCATTTTCAACATAGTATTGCACTCTGAAAAATGCCACAAAAGGTGGGCTAAATTTCTCTGTTCCCTAGAGGAGAGGCAGAAGGCATGTTAAAAAACAAAACAAATCATCACTTTCTYGTAACACTCCCCTTCCCATGCTCATTCCCTGTAATATTTTCCTTCTCCATGCTTAGCTGTTCAGCAGGGTTTGGGGGAATCTGATCATCTCCCATCAATGAAGCATTACAACACATACAGACAGGACGAATGGCAAAACATCCTGTGGAGAGCAGGAGAATTTCAACTGGGAGGATAAGTAGATATACAGGAGTCTCAATAGCTTGGGGATACCCAGCTTAGCTCAACATTACTTAGCTCAGCACCTGGCAGCTCTGCAGGCACATTAATGCTGAACCCAGCAAGTCGAATATAACCCTCCTGAAAGCACCAGGCAAGCAGCCCAGGCAGCCTGCCACGCTTGCACYGCTGCCCCATTTCCAGAACACACCTAGAGCTAACGCTATTATTTCTGCTCAGAGATCATATAACCACATTATACAACAAGGGATTCACGCAYTGCTGCGAGAGTAACACATCAGCCTTCACTGCCAGAGACCGAGGCTCACGAGCGTGATGCTGGTTGTCTTTTTCTTTGGCAGTGCTACTGTTTAGTTATTCAGTTTCCTACTGCCACAGACTGATGGGATACATTGATGCTTGGCTCATGTTTAAGAYGCTTGCTAGAAGAAAGCCAGGCTCAGCTCATGTCTAGCAGGATGGCTCACGTCCCAAAAGGTCATTTAGCCTGTTTTGCTCATGCACAACTGGATGTCTCCAGATTTGCATAGACGGGATGTCATTCAAATGGAAGACTGACTGACCTTCTCCCCTGCTGCACCAAKTAAGCAACAACCACATGACTACCACTGACTAGGCAAAATGCTACTAGAAGATGCTACTATAGCTACTTGTAACTCAGCATATTAACCACGTCCGGCAAGTCAAGTAACCTTGCTACTGAAGAAATTCCTGCAAACCGCATTCAAGAAATACTTAACGGATCTTATTTTAAGAGCTTCCACTTTATTGYACAAACCAAACCCAATGCAGTATCTTCTGAAATTAAACACCTGTCTTACTTTGCTTGTCTCTTTCTTCCATTCCTTTGAAAAGTATTTGCTAAGCTTCTGCTCCAGGTCTATAAAAACATATTCATTATCTGAAAGACAGGAGGGAAAAGCATTTAATATTAAAGAAGCAAAAATCCTTATTCATGAAGTACTTAGAAACATACCTGCTGTTTGCAAACAATGCATTCTAAAACAAAAGCTGAACTGCAGACTGGAGAGGGCAAGAGAAAGAGTGGGCACTCGGGCTGCAGCAGGTACACTGGCTTCAATAGCATGAGAGGAAACCTCGCTGCACCAAACTCAGAGAGATGAGCTAGAAYGTGAGAACAGAAGTGAAACTACCCTAATGCAAACTGCAAATGAAGGAAAGTTTACACTTGTGTTTCTAATGCACATGAAGGACTGGCATGGACTAGCATTAGAAGAGATACTCAAGTGAGTTAAGTCACAATGTCGTCTTCCCAGAACATCAAAACTCCTTACAGGTGCAAATATGGGAAAAAAAATCTTTTTAGGCGAGCTTTTATACAAGCAAAGCAACCTCCCGCACATCACTTCCAAMCCCTTCCCCCTCAGGTAATAGAAATCAAATCTGGTGCTAGCCAGAATCCATGGTTCCATGCACAATAACACATGGTCTTGTGCAAAATATCAGTAACAAATAAAGAGGACACAGYCCCTTAAAAAAATCATATTTCCTCATTTATGGTCTTTCTTGCAGTGTACTGATCAAAGCTGTAACATTAATACATCTACATTTCTACTTGCTGCTTTATTTGACATCTCCCAGGCATGTAATACAGAACAGTATCTAACAGCACTGTTAGAAGCCCTGAATTTTAGTGAGTGGAGTGAAAGYGATTTGCACACAATGAGATACAGAGGTTGCTTTGCTATTTTGACAAGGAGAGAGGCAGGATTCAGCATCACAGACAGACTGTCTTGCATCTCCCTCTTCGCTTGTGTGTGCCAGGCGGGGTGGTAGGCAGGGATATACAGGCAGCAGCCACCTTTACTTCTTCATGCCCATTGAGATCAGAAAATGCTGCTTTGAGAAGTATGCTATAAAACCTGGCCAGGCAGATGAACAGGTTTGGCACCTCCCTCAGACTTGCCCTGCCCCTTGTTGTACAATGACAAGTGTCTCTCTACAAAACTTTTCCTAAAAAGTAACTAAATGTGTGTTTTGGGGAAACAGCCACACTGCTACCAATAGGAAGGGGACAATACAAGCATGACACAGGTCCCTTCGTGGACTCAGCAGTCAAGGTGCTCACTCATAACAGGCTCCTGCAGCCAGACCCTGACTGCTCCTCATGGCAGGTTACTGCTGCACAGAAGCATTTCCGACTGGTTCAGATACGGTTAAGGTCTCACCCAGGCTCTGTCAATACTGCAGCTTTATCCGTGATCTTGTAAAGAGGGTAGGGAACCTTCTCCTTTGCAACAAGTTAGCAGGGTCATGCTCCATCGTTTGTCAGGAATGATCCCTTGCCCAGAGGCGCTTAGGGAAGATTGCGAGGAAAGACAGTGACCACAAACAGGAGATGTTCTCCGAGCCATCCTATTAACACATGTGCTGGGATAGAAGAGGTGAAAAGGACAACAAAGCAGTTCCACAGTAGCAAAGAGATTAGTTGCTCACACTGCACAGCCCCTATTAATTTCTGTGCGTATCAGTTTGGTCAGAAAGGGAAGGCTGAGGCTCCAAACACGACGGTGAGGTCCAGTGCACGGTGACAGAGGTGCCCGTCGCCACCCCACGGACGCCAGGCTGGGCAGGGGCCCATCCCGAGGCACCAGCTCTCCCTGGGGTCCCGCTCCTCCCCCGTGCAGAGCAGCATCCTGCCCCRTCCTCCCTTCAGCGCAGGAATGCGCCGCTACATTCCTGCTCTAATGAAGTTACTATTGCAGGAATGCCAGCCTGCTGTGCAGCCCCAGTCTGCAAAAACAGAGAGCTATTTCCTGCCTCAGCACTATGTGGGAAGTGGGTTGTGGGTTTGTTTGTTTGTTTTGCTTTTCTTAAACTGGATTAGTGGTAGCTCTTAGAGATCTTTGTCTGATGCTGAGATTCTCTAATTTGAAAGCATTTTTCTCTTTACCAGAGTGAAGGCATCGAATTGTAGCACCTCAAAACAGCCATGTAAAGGCCTATAAAGAAACGCACAGATGGTCACCCTTACAGGGAAGAACTCSTCTAACCTGCAGAACCCAACAGCACCAGATCCTCAGCAGGTATAAACTGCCATAACTCCTCCGGCCTCAGTTGAGTGACCAAAGCAGAAGCTGCCCTCAAAGCACACGGACAGGCAGAGATGCCTCCAGCAAGAGCCACACGCTGCCGCTGCAGCGTCACATCGAACGCTCCCGAAGGGCTCCCACATGAGTGTGTGCAGGTAGAATCACAGAATGGTTAAGGTTGGAAGGGACCTCAGAGGTCATCGAGTCCAACCCCCTGCACACGCAGGGTCGCCTAGAGCACGTGGCACAGGGCTGCATCCAAGCGGGTTTTAAAGATCTCCAGAGAAGGAGACTCCACAACCTCCCTGGGCAGCCTGTTCCAGTCCAGGTACCAGACCTGCTGGAATCCGCCACGGCACCGCGCTCCCAACGCACCCGCTCTACAGCCGGCACGTCCAAGAAACGGGAAAACTGCTCTGCTGCTGGCAAGATCCCCTGCATAAACTGCAAAGAGTGCACAGTGTAAAAGTCTTGCCACAACTTACGCAGTCAACAGAAATGCAAACATTGAAGGGCTCCCACTCTATAAAATTAACCTGGCACATTGATGTATTTAAGCAAATGCTGAATGTGCACTGCTGCAAAAAATAATGGGAGGTATCTCCAATCAGAATAAAATGGCACAGTTCCAATGAGTTGTGCAAATTTGCTACGGGCATTATCTACAAYGCAGGGAATTCAGGAATGGAAAATACTGATTGCAATACATAGAAATAAGCTGCAAGTCAGTTACTTTAAAAGCCTTTATATTAAGCAGTGCGCCTCCCTGTTTTGTCTTTATGAAAGGTTAGCTCCTGCAGAATCACTAAGTAACAGTGTATTCCAGTGACCTGCTTCCTTCATATGCCCATTTTGGGCTAATAGTGCTATGAAATTGCACAGAGATAAGTTATGCACCAGTCCTACCACGAGAAACAACTCCATCCCAGTTGGCAGCCAGGAACATCCCATTAACTCACTTAGTTGAATCAAGTATCTTTTAATATTATCACTATTCAGACAGCCTAGGAGCTTAGGACTTAAATAAAACATGAATTAGTGCAAAGCCATATAGCTACATAGAGCAGGCATTTTTACTGCTTTGAATGGACGGAAAAAATTGTCTCTGGCTACGGCACCCAATTTTTTCATGGTGCTGAAAAACCTCAGAGCACCATCACTGCTACCTGCTGAGAGGAGATGATGCCACTGCTCCAAGAACATCCATCCCAGGCAACAGGAAAGGCACCATGACCAGAAGAGGAGGATGGTGGCATTGGGAGAGAGCTGAAGTAAAAAACAGGCGAAATGCCTCATAGCACCTACCACAGACCTCACGTGTTCAACTCCCCTGAATGCCAGCAGGTTTATTCTTGGTTATAGCACAAAATGGCCTCTGTGCTCCTTTTCCAAGTGGAGTTCCCCGAGCTTCCATATGCTGGTGATGTAGGAATCTTAATTCCTGCATCATATTTGCTCTGCAGGACTACCTGATGCTCAAGAGCAGGGAATGAGGTGACAAAGGTAGCCACCTTTGTGGCATTGTTCAAATGGGGTGGAGAGAGGGTATATGGAGGAAAGAATGAAAGGAAGTAACGAAAAATTTATGGTAGTTCCGCTATTACAAACTCTCACAGTCTGAAGACTGAGAAAAATCCTCAGGAATGAGTAGGCCTTTGTAAGTGTTATGTTGTTATCTTACAGTTGGCAACAGAGCACACCCACAAGAAACTCACTGGGTCTCTGACAGTGGCCAAAGAGATTCCTCTGCACAGGAACAGTTGCAGAACCATTCCCATCACTACTCAGCCAGCAGCAAACGAACCCCTTTTGGTCCTCAGACTGTAGAGCACCTGGCTGGATGATGGACTGATACTGATGGAGAAATAATCCAAAACAGATACAGGAAAAAATGCCGTTCTAGGAAAAGATCGTGCAAGTACTGCTACAAAGAATTACACAATTTTTGAACACCTGAATGCTTGCAATTCTCTCTAGCTGATGTGTGTCTGCACACATTTTCCTTATATTGCATTTAACACTTGCTCAGGATAACCAAATCATTATAACATGGCCTTCCATATGGACACTTTTCCTTCACAAAGRAGATACAGCTACCCAAGCAGATATTTGGAGGGAGGAGAAAGGATTGGCTCTGGTACAGGTAGCGAGGAAGGACTGAGATGTACAAACCATAAGAGGCTACTTGAGGAGAAATTCTGTTGTCATCTGCCTTAAAAGACAAGGTGGCAAAATAGATACCCACAGAATATAAAACCAATGGACAGCATGTTCTACCCATGAACATCACGTTATGAAGCACAGAAGAGGTAACTGCAGATACGGTCGTCTGGGAACAACCACCCAGCGAGCTCTGCCAGGCACACGTGTAACCGGGACTTGGACRCACTCGGTCTCCGTGGGCCCAGCAAAGCGAACAGCCAGAGCTGCAGTAACACAAGGGCGACCCTTCGGACAGGGAGCTGAAGCAAAGAGGTCTGGTTTTACTAGAAAGCCAGACTAAAACTGGTAAGAGGACATGASAGGAGAGCGTGGTGGAGTGCAGAAGCTGCCGGCTTGCTCCTTCCCAATCTACAACTTCCGTCTGTTCGGGTTGCGCATGGTTTTCCCCAGGAAAGGAGAAGCTCAAGATTCAGGATCACAGGGATCCAGGTTACAATAACAAAGGAGACCTGGCTGGTTTTTGTCTGCTGACAATCAGTTTTGCTTTGGAAGACTGAATTATGTCACTGCACGCATTTTCTGATAACAAGAGGAAAAAAAACTCTTGCAGGGCACAGATAAGACTGACCCAGCAGGAGTAGCCACAATACAAGACCCAGCTGCTGAAGCCCATGGAGTCAGGTTGAACCTGGGAGAGTCATAGGGTCTTTTCACTGAGCCAAAAACAAGAGAAAAAATGCTCTTAAGTAGTAACAGAGCACACAGCAAAGCTTGCTTGATGATCTCTGGCAAAACCAGAAGAGCAACATGTCCCAAWCTTCATGCCAGTGTGGCTTCCCACTAATGTACACTCCTTAATTTGCTTCATTTGCAAAAGGATTGGATTCCTCTTGCAAATGCAAGCTCTCTTCTGAAACTATTCRCTGAAATGCTTTTCATTTTGACAAGGAAAAAAAGCAGAGAGGTGAAAAGCAGAGAGGTTATCTAAAATCCTGGAGCTCACCCTCCACGTTTGTAAGAATCAGCAGTGAAGGAAAATCCCAAATTCTTTTAGCCTTTAAGTAATGTTTGCTAGAAGAGCTGCCTCRAGATCTGCAGTTCAGATCTCACAGCACTGCGACTTGCACATTTTTGTTGCTATTTTCATTTCTCTCCCCCCCAACCCTAACACACAATTTGTAAGGATGCAAAAGAAACCTTATTTAGAGGGCTTGAGAATAAAAGACATCTCATCTCAATGACATCAGTATTTAAAGTTGCAACAGTAAATACTAAAACACTTAAGTATTTTGGAGGGAAAAGAAGTCCCTCCCACACTTTTGGAGGTGCAGGAAAGGAGAATAATAAGTTAACATCCGATTATTAAGAATGGGGAGAGGTGCCACCACACAAGTGCACTCACTCACATTTATACTCACTCCCTCTTTTCCAGGTGCACTGATTTGCTCCTTCCTTAAAACACCACTTGCCCTTTGGTCAACACCGGGGCACAGTACCAGGCAGACTGGACTTCRACCCACGGACTTAAGTTGCGTATTTCCCACATAGCATTTAAAAACCCTGTTTCCTCCCCTGTCCAACTTTAGTATCCTCAAGTCACTTCAATTTCCACTCCCCAGTGCCTCATTCTTTATTTAGGATTTTAGAAGTAACACATTGGGCTCCCAAGTCATTTAAAGAATCTCTTCCTGCTCAACTATGGGCAGTTTGAATTCAAAGTGGCAAATACATTCGCTAGACCCTTAGCTGCAGCACAGAAAGAGAACCCCACAAAGAGGCAGAACACAAGAACAAAGCAGGAGAGCAAAAATCCCCCCTTCTCCCAAGGCGCCTGCCCACATAGCAAAGATCAAAGGAGCTCCAAGAAGGTTGTGCATAATCTACATACGTTGTGACCTTATTACAATCAAATTCCCCGCAGGCATGGCCAGTGTGTACATATGCACACACTGTAAATACACAAGCGGGTCCGTGGAAGTCTGCCAAGTCGTTTGCTCTGCGCACTGGGTTTGCTTACTTTTAACAATGCTGAGGCCAAAGAAGTGAGGCTCTTTAATCTTCACTAAATCACAAACTTGCTGAAAGAGCTCCTGTCCAGTGGCTTTGACCTGAAAGAAACAACCAATCCAGCATTACAGAGGGCTCATACACCTGGATGGAGCAATTCTTCCTCAATGTATTGATCCTTTGGCTACCAAAATAAATAAAAAATAAAACAATTAAACAACAGAAAACACAGAACAAGCTTTGTTTTCATTATTATTACTATCACAGAAGAATTATTAAAGTGTTATTCTCCCTCCTTTACATTGCAAAGGGGCTTGGCTCGGTAAGATTTGAATTTAAGGCTTCCTATCTATTGGCATCCTGCATAAGTAAAGCTGAGATCAGGCTGGAGCACTAGTTTCATGCAGTACCTACCAGGCTATTTTTACGTCTTCTTAAAGAGCACGTGTTTGTAACCACGAAATGAAAGCAATAATTTCATAAACAAATGCTTTCAGATGTGGGAYGAGAGGGAGAGGGACAAACAGATTAAGCAGGAGAAGAAACATAAAAAGCCCCCTCAGCCCCAGCCCCTCGAGGCACCCGAGAAAGGAATTTTGAGCAAGAGCAAGTGCAGAGCAACACAGACACAAGCAGCCTGTGCTCAGCCCTGTGTGCGCCAAACTCTGGCTTTGAAACGSGTCACATCTCAACGGTGCTGTCTCCGCGGGACGGAACACAGCAGCAGCAGCTGCAGTGGACACATCCCTTCTGGAGGAGAGCACGCAAAGCCACCTCGGCAGCAGCAGAGAGCAGAGCAGACTGCCCGCCCGCCCACAACTCACTCCGCCCGCTCGTTTCCTCCAGCCCTTGCAGCGCTGCGCCCCAGGGAAACCCTCCGTGCCCAAGGCTTTACCTTGCCACTAGATCTGGGCCATTGGAAACGGGAGCTCGGGAAGGCGCTCAGTTTTTCCACTTGACAAAGCCTCCCTGGCCGCTGCCCAGGATCACTTCCCTGGCAGCTCTGGGCGYGCGACACCAAGGCGCGTGCGCGGCCCCCGCGCGCTTGGCAGGCGGAAAGGTAACGAATAGTCTTGATAGGAACCAAAAGCTTCAGGGTTCAGTCTTACACTAGAAGGAATATTTGCTCAGCTGCCAACAACATGCAATTGGAAGGAAAAGTTAGACATAGGCCTGTCTCCTTTTGGAGGGAAAATTAGGTTTCCTCAGCTCTTAAAAAAAATTAAAAATCACTGGGAGAAAGATGACTTACTAGCAACCAAAATGATTATGTGCATGCAGCAATCACTAGTTACACAGGATTGTATGTAGAAGCTATACAATTAGATGCATTCTTGGGGGTATACTTTAACACATAGAAGAACATGGAGGAGAAACTTGGAGTAAGATACTTAGTTCTATTGAACTGAACATGTAAAGACTCTGTGACATTTAACTCTGAAGCAAAGATTTAACTCTGAAGTAGGCCTGGGAGTGCTTATCCAATCCATTCTCATTTTGGCATGTCTGTATTAAGTTTTAGTTCCAACTTTCCAGGCTGTGCAATATTGAATACATTTGTAACCTCTGCTCCCTCCTTCTGCATTCACCACTGCCCCAAACCACCAACTCTTCCCTTTGCATTTGTATTTTGTTTGGTTTCTTTGGCCTTTCTTCCCTCTGGGTGCAGTTCTTCTATCAAACGCAATCTCGGGTACTCCATGAATCATTCCCTCCCTTGACAAGGGCTGAGTCTCAGCTCTGCTCAGGACCAGACTCACAGCTTCTTTATAAATGAAGTTTAGTCCACAGTAAAACCAAGCATAAGTTCACAGAAAGTACTACTATTCCTTATGTGAAAATTTTTATACGTATTGGTTACCTTTTTAATTTTCTTGGTTCATGTGTTTTAAAACCTCTGTTCCACTGCTCATAGATGAGAATATTTAAAATTTATGCCTGTGCCTCCCCAACCTAAGGGACTTCCCCAGATTTYCCCTCCCAAACTGCTGCTGTACTCGAGCTTCCTTTCACCGAGTTGGCAAGAAGCAATACTATTTATGACCAACTTGGAGCTACCAAAACACAGATAGAGTGGCTGGTTGTACTGCTTCACTCATGAAGTAACCTGTTCTCTACCAGAATAGGTCTCATTCTCTTACTGAGATGCTGCCATCAAGAAAAAATAAGGAAAAAAAATAGGAGATACTTGTAAAAACAAGTTGATATTGATCATCAGGTTTTCAAGTACCAGGAAGATAAAAGATAATCCAGAACACTATAAAAACTATAATACCGTACAGCTAGATATATAAAACTGAGCATTAGAAAAAATCATTGTTCCCAGCAGAAGCCTCCCCTTTATGTCCTCAGGGTGGCTGCAGCACCCGCTACKGCTCCTCCCTGCTCTGCTTTTCTAAGTGATCACAGCTGATAATGAGCACAGAGTTTCCCTGTTCACTGTCCCCCCAAACAACCTAGTTAACAAGTTAAATATCTCACAACGGGTGAAGGGATTGCAAAACGGCTCCCAGTCTTCTTCCATCAACATTCATGTCTGTGAGGAGCTTGAAAATAAAACTGTTTTGAAGAACAGACCTCAGTCTAAACCTGACCACATGAAACACATATAGGAAAATTCTTATCTAGGAGGGAATTTACATGGTGGGGCAGGGGCAGGATTTATGTGCATAAATCCTTTGCTTATCAAAGGCAAGAACTATGCTTTACTGGAAGGATAATGATTCTCACCCACCACACAGAGCTGCAAGATTATTTGGTATTTGCATTCCACACCACAGAGGTTAAAGTGTTTTGAAAATCCCATGTAGTGGCATTATTATTGGAATAGAAGCAAAAAGTATCATCTGTGGTTGTGTTAATTAAATTTGGATTCTAGTTTCATTAATAGAAAATTGCTTTGATGTTCCTTTAAAAAGATCTTTACAACTGTGAGATCTCAATTTTTGTTTTTGTTTTGAAGGAGTGGTGGGATAAAGAAAGAAGTCTAATAAAAAGCTAGTTTTGGTGATTTGCCCAGTTATATCAGTTCACATTCCACTCTTTATGCAATTAGTACAGAACTATGTTTTGAGAACTCACATTTTCAGTTAGACAGATATTCTCTTCCACACACGTGCATGTCCAAGTACACATTTTCCCATCTTTCTAGCTACTAAAACAAGTAGAAACAAGAGTGAAAAGGGAAAATATCTTTATAAAGGGCTACTGACAGATGTTATAGATGATATAGATATGTTATATATGTCAATGTTATAGATGCATTCATGGGGAGGGGGAAGGAAACACCCAAGGCCCAAAATACCAAGCTCGGCACTGAGCTATAAAGGGACCCTGCAGGCCCAGGTGCTTTTCCACCCTGCAGCCCTTCGGACAGGCAGGCAGAAGCGGCCGTAGAGACCCTGCACATTCCCTCCATTCCCACTGGCCTGGTGCAGCTCAGCTCCAGCAGGACTTCCGTGCTTATGAACCTGCTGCGGCCTGATGCACTTCCAGGGAACTTGTAAACACGGACCTGCTGGCCAGAGACCTTGTAACCCCCACAGGCACACAGGTAAGGGCTCACGAGGTCCTCCCCGCTCCCAGGGCTGGGAACCTCCAGGTGTGTGCAGGAGCCTCTCCATCCGATCCCCGCCTGCTCCTGCTCCCAGCTGTCCGGGAAATCCCGCTCTCTCAGGATTCAAGGGCAGCTGCTGGTGGGAGCTCGCAATTTTCAGCCGTAAGGCACAGGGGTTAGCTCAGAAAACCCCAGCAGAAGGTCTCCACCAACATGACTCAGTCTGACAATAGCAAATTGAAAGGATAAATAGCTCACATGGATATTAGTGGTGGTAAAAGAACATTTTTTGACAGGGCAGAAGCCAGGGACAGGATTTCTTCACTGCTGTGGCCCAGCTACAGTGGKGGGTGGCCAGTTCAAAAGCCCTGAACTTGGGACAGACCTGTGGATGTCACACCCTTTGGAAAGAGAATTAAGCTTGCAGTCAGAACGGATGCATGACACTGTACTTAAAACAGCAGCCAGGGACATGCATCAAAGCCAGAACAGAGGAACAAAACCGGAGAATATTTCAGGTGTCTCCGGTTCAGTCACCACTTGACTCACACCAGCCTGGCCAGAGAGTGATGGCTGGACCTGCTGGTGCCCCCAGCTGCCCCCATGTCCCAGCCTGCCCTCCCCTGCATACCTGCATCAGTGATGAGAAACTGCAGTTATTCAAGCAGTGACCATTTGAACTAAGCAGTGCTCAGATTCAACAGGGCAGAGCACGACCCAGCCGGTCATTTACGGCAGTGCTCTCTGCTCAGACACCTGCACCATGAGGTACAGAGCCAGGGAGGCAGCAGGGAGCAGCGACTGCATAGGTCCTGCCTGCACGTCTGCGCGCGAGTCAGCACCTTCAGCAAGGCAGGGCCGGCTCCATTATCTGCGATCTTTAGCCTCTCCGATAAAAGCTATAAACAACGGAGATTTAATGTCAGTCGAACTGGACCATTACCCTCCGCTGGGCACCTGCCTCCAAGAACTTAATTGAATCATCATTTTGTGTCTTGCAAAAAGCTGGTGGACAGCAAAATTTTGTGAGTGTCCACATGGACTGGATTTGAACTAGTGATCTAAAAAGCAGAGATTCCCAGATTTTACAGCTAAAACTTGCTCTACCCAGTCCTTGCAGTGGTTTCTGTTGATAATGCCACATTTAAGCATAGCAGGTAGGAAAATTCCTGCACGGATTTTAAAGATTAGCATGCATACTTTCAAAAAGCCACATTTCTAATCACGTGCTTAAAATAACAGCTTACCTTATCTATCTTCTCCCCATCCCCAGTTTAGAAAAACAAAGCAAAACCTCATCAACTCACATATAATACATGCACACACTCATAAGAGTAGTAAACTTTCAGGCTAGCTTGTTATGTGAATTTGAAGCACACTCAGTACTTCATAAGCTTAAAGAGCAATGAGTATCACACAAAGGGGCACTGCATTCCAGTGGTTACTGGGCCACACTGGCAGCCAACTGGCAGCCTGGCTTTGCTATCACTTCTGCACACGCACTTACATGTTTGAAGCTACGATCAAAGAAATGAAATGACTTAACTTACCTCTGGTTTGTGTGCATACAAATACTTAAAAAAAAATAAATAAGTCAAAGGCCATCCACCCTACCATGAAGTCTTTGAAGAGATCTACAAAGTATTAAATCCCAAAATAGCTAAAATGCCAGAGCAAACAGAGGTATGCTCTGTATTAGCAATGCCTACTAAGTCTAAGGATAAAGGCATTTCAGGTTCAATTTTAAAATCACTCGTTTGTTACTTGTGGCAAAACCACTCGGAACAAAAAAGCAATAATTAAAAAGAGAACCAAAGGAACCCCTCCCCACCGCCACCCCAAAACATAACCAGGACAGACTTTCAATAAACTCTGCAAGTGTTTTGAAACTGCTCAATTAGAAAACGGAGCACTAATTACACTAAGCTGGCTAATAGCCTTGTGGTCAGCAGACTGACACGACGCCCTGGAGAGAACAATACAACAGAGGCTGGTGGAAACGGGCGCGAGGGCGGCCGCGACGCCAGGAGCGCGGCGAGAGCTTCGCTCCTCACTCACCCCCACGGAGATGCTGAGCTGCTCCCTGTTGGGCAGGAAGACGCACATGCTCCGGCTCTCGTGCTGCATCCTGCCGGCCAGCAGCGTCCTGCTCATCGCGGGCAGCTCCTCATGCCCGGCGCGCCTGCGGGGAGCTCCTCTCTGCCGACGCTCCGGCTCCCTTCATCCCACACACCTGCCAGGAAAGGGAGAGCATCAGGGCCACGCTGCTCGGAAGAGGGCCGCAAACGTGGGCAGCAGCAGGCAGCCCACGTGTAACGAGACGTTTTCCTCTTGGGGGGAAAAACAAAAAAAAGTGTTAACAGAAAAGGCAAAACAGAAGCATCTGCAAAGGCYGCACACAGAGTGATCGTCACGGGGTATCCCGCGCTAGTCAGCCCCCATGCTGATTATGGGGAATCATGTTGCCCCAGAGGTGGGAACACAAACCATATAAACGCTCGCAGTGAATCCCTGTATGGGGCTTTCAGGTGGCACCTGCTCTGGGTTCCCATCCTCTGAGTCACTCATTTTACAGAGCTGCCCTTAATGATTCTGACAAACTCACAGCGTAAACCAGGCAACGTTTTAAATGGCCCAGGAATCACAGGAGAGAGCCATAAAACAATTAAATCTACTTAGAAAACCAAACCAGAAAAGAGATTTCATGACACCAGCAAGTAATAAAACAGATGACAACACAGACTATTTCCTGAAGAGGCATACGGAGATGGGGGCAGGGAGCAGCCMATTCTTTAATGGGATATCTCATTCTTGATGAAAATAGACAGCATGTGTACGCTGATGAGGAGGRCTCAGCATTTTATTTGAATCATCTTTCTCTCACTTGCCCTTTGTTCTGGGAAACCACTGTGAGACTATGCGTAAACTCCAAGGGGAAAATTGTGCAAACTTGCAGGAGAGAAAAGGTTGAGCCACTGTTTAATAATTTTTGCAAGACAAACACTGACAGCTTCTTCCTGGAAATTGAGCCTAAGTGGCACCGTTTTATATTCTTCAGTTCACTGTAAAAGATGCTGAAATTGCAGATGTAAAAATGCAGCAGTCTGGAATATTACACAAATATCTTAGAGCTGAAGTTACAATAATAGCTACAAAAATGACAGCAGAAATTCCATTMATTCCCAAATGCACAGTAGCCAATATCATCTTCACATTATAGTCAGGTTAAATACAGTTTCCTCAGCAATTCATGACATTTATTTGCAGCCCTCTCCACCCCAATGCTCTCCAGTTCAAGAAAACATCCTAGGGCACCTGGCAGCTGCAGATGGAAGATGCATACGGACCACTTGGCTGGTTTATTTATACAGCTCTAATTGACAAACTCCCTCACAGCAGCACACGAGGCAGCTGTATAGATCAGCACGCTGACAGACCAAAAGCTCAGAGACAACAGCCAGACCCAAATCCTTTTCCATGAGGCAGCTGAGGCTGTTACGGAGACATCAGGGTGTCTTAAGCAGCCTGAGCTGCTCYGTGAAGCCATATGGCCCAAGCGAGTCCGCCACGAAGGGGAAGGCTCCCTGAGGGAAGGGCATGGGTGAATGCTGGCAGACACTGAGCTAGCTCGACACCAAGCAGTGATGGAGKGCAGGAAAYGCACAGCCCAGAAGGCTTCAGCCAGCTCCTCCTGCCCTTTTAAGTGCACTCCAAGCCAGCAAGAGGTAGATGCAGAAGAGGTAGTAGCAGAAATGTCCATGGGAGCTCAAGGTACTACGGTTTTCCCAGCTGCCTGTCACCACCTCTGTGCCAGAGGTTGTGGAGAACCTCTTGCGGATGATGCACATGCTCCTGGTGCACCTTAGCGCCAGGTGAGCTTGGTCTCCCTGCTGAGGTTACGAGTGCAATTCACCCCAGGCAGGCTCAAGCAGACACAGTGCCGAGGCTCCAGAACCTGTTCTGCACAGGGGCTGCCGCAGGACAAGTCAAACAACTACAGAGAGTTCAGATTTAAGGCATTTAGTACTGGGTCCCGAACCACCATGACCACACAGAGCACAGATCCAACATAAAGTTCCAACTAAGAGTTCAAGCGGGCTTGAAAAGCCTTACGTTCTGCAGGACCACGACGTTAACCTGTTTGCTAGCAGCTCTTCACCAGTCCTATAAAGCAGGTACCTCYCCCAGTGAGGACACTACCTGCCACAACACCTACCACCCCCTGGGGAGGGGGCCCAMCACAAAATCCACAGGTATCTCGCCCAGGGCCAGCTCTCCCTCTGAGCACCTGAGGCTGCAGAGCTCGTTTCTGGAGGAYTGGGCCCATCCTCAGCGCATGTTGCAAGGCTCCCCATCTCTTGCCAGCAGGCTAGTATTATGCAAAGGATGGGCAGGACGGGATATTATATACTCCCCCTAGCATGACCTATCTTGTCAGGGAAGGGAGTACAACAACAAGGGGTTGCTGAACCCAGCATTACAGACAGTCCATCTCCTAGCTTTCAAAGGACTATTCCTTCTCCAGGTGGCTATCCTACTAAGAAAAACAGCAGTGTTCCTGGCCTCTCCAGTGYAGCTCAAGAGGACAAAACAGAAGGTTGCTAAAAGAAGGCAGAAGGGAGCAAGAATGCTCCTTGTACCTGTCCACAGCCCAGGTCAACCTGCCTGTGGATCCAAAGGAAGTAATTGCCACTGCTGCCCCAGTGCCTAAACCACTGCACGCTGCTTCTTGAAGAAGTCAGTAAGGGTCTCTGCGAGGCCTGCTCTGCACCTCCAAGGTCAAGGACAACACGTCAGTTATTTCTTTCCACCACGTACAAGATACTCTGACACACGACTTATTTCTGCAGTGAAACGCGGGCCCTGTGACTGGCGCCCGGGGTGCCCAGGAAGCGCCRTGCCGGGAGCCGCGCGTGTCCCGCAGGGGACGCGTCGGGACGCGCGGCCGCACGGGGAAGCGGCGACGGTCCCGGCAGCGTCGGAAACGGGCGCAGGGACAGAGAGGGTCGGGAGCAGCAAGGGAGCAGGGCGTTCTACACTGACCACACAGGAGAAACGCTACAGAGCAAATGTTCTCAGAAGAAAACTTTGCATCTAGTTTGCATTTATCTTAAGTTCAAGATGCCCTCATAAGCATTCTGCTTTATAATATTTTCAGTCACAGAAGGTATTTTTAATCTTATTCATAAATTGGAAAAGCCAGCACTTTCTTTCAAAAAAGAGGTTAAACAGGGACACTCAATTGTGCTTACAGGATGTCACAAATTTTATATATATATACACACACAAAATCTCTATATTATATGTGTGTCTGTCTATATATACATACATATATATAGAGAGAGAGGCACACACAGTATATACAGTCTATATATATAGAGAGAGATACAGTATATATATAGGCACACTTTTTTTAAGGGTTTCAAACATTATACAAAGTTGCTTTGGCATTTAAATTTACTTTGTCTTGTTTCAGGGGAAGAATACAGTGGAAATATTCTGGCATGGAAAATGTAAGGAAGACAAAGTACAATTCAGAGGAAAAAAATCTTACCCTCCTCTTTACAATTCTGTGCTCAAATATTACTTTTTTTTAAACTATTATTGTTTTAAAACTTTAAATACAAGTAAAGATCTGTAAGCATTATTTTGCAAATACAAAAGCTGTGCCATGCAATTCCTCCATTGCACTGGTATATACAATACTACCTAACTAACCATGTTTTGCCCAAGTTCTCTATATACAGCTTCAATTATAGACAAAAATACACATAAATCACACGTAATGCATTACGGCTCTCAAAATGAGGCAGTCACCCTCTGGCTTCTTTTCCCACTCAGAAAGAGTGGGAAAGAAAAATCAGAATTCCAGTCTAAAAATTAGTATTTTTTTTAAAAAAAAGAAGATTGCTCTAAATTTTAAGCAAGGAATAAAAGAAAAGCACATTTGACTTCATGGAAAATAACAGTGAAAGCTGCTCCTAGATGAAATATTAAGAGAAAATCTCTCATTTATCCTCTCTTATCAATATAATTATATTGATGAGTCCTCTTAGATTCTAGGTCACGCACTATTAACAGCCATACATAAATAACAGATGTCTACAAAATGGCCYGAGGCCCACAGGTCGCCGTTGTTATGGTCAGCCGATGTCATACGCTCCGTGAAATTTAATGGAGACCATAAAGGCTTCAGAGTATGGACTCAGACCTTGCAGCCCAAGGAGGTGCATCTTTACCGTCAAACTGCTGCAGTAGCTGCTACTCATTCTCGTTCACAAGAGGAGATGGAGTCTAACAAATATATTCAAGCAGCTTATGGCACAGTTCAGAAAAGGCAACTAAGGAAACAACCCTGGCAACGTGCACACATACAGCTCTGTGGACAGCTCAAGACTGAAACCCAACTCCTCACAGCTCCTATAAAAAAAGGGCTGCTGGAAAGTTTGCTTTGGCCATTTGCATTTTTAAGGGAACAACCATGGACTGTTAGAAARAGTAAAAAAGAATAGAGAGAAAAGAATAGAGAGAAGGTGTTACTGTTTTCAAGTTTTAAAACAAATCAGCTCCTTGACCGTGCAACAGCAAGTAAGAGGTTAAAGAAGCAATGTCCTTAATCTTAAGGAGGAGGTCAAACACAAGCTTAGATCAGCTTTCTCTTCTTTAGAGGTATGTTAGAATGTGATAAAATGTAATGAATTATTAACTTGCTAGGCATTGATGTTTACACTTTTTTTTTTGTTTAAGTTGTGAGCCAGGAATAACTGCTCTACGAAAACAAGTGGCCAGAAGGAATGCTCTTACTTAAATATACACAATTTCAGACTGCCCATATGCCATTCTTTTGTTTACCACAGATTCCAACCTCTTAACCTCAATTAAACCCTAAAAGCTCCTGCAAAGGCACTGCAGATGAATTAATAAAAGCTGAAGTCAATCATCTTCCTCTGGGACACTCTATAGTTTGTTTGTTTTTCTAAATAACATCACTTCATGTTTTAGCTCCTGGAGAAGGGCATTTTGAGATGTAATGGCTTGGTCAAAGGTCCCTGCACTCTATCAGTGAAAGAGTCAAAGATGCTATTTATTTGTATGCTTCTGGTACCCGTCCAGAGTCTCATTAGTGGTCAGAGTGATAGCACAGTTTATTTAGCACTGTTTATTTTATTTCACCTAAGCACATGTGCACCAGAGCTTTGGAAAATAATCTGTCATTAATTTCAAGACTCCTCTGTTTAAGCAGCTCAAACACTGTCATAAAAGCTAATTAAGCAAAAAGCTGGTCTTCCCCTTCTCTCTCCACAGACTTGTGCGAAGACTCGCTGCTTCCTAGAATCTGAACAGAAATMCAGCATTTCTTTGGTAAAAGCAAGAATTGCTTAAATTTGCTTCAGCAAGCAGAATAACTGAGGCTTCCAAGAAAAAAAAAAGATTCAGGAATGCCTACCTACAGGATTGCTTGGACAGCTTACTCCTCATCAGTCATTTCAGAGTTAGAAAACATTTGCACTGCCTTTGTGCAGAAGTTACTGGTCAAACAGCCAGTACAACAACTTACCTAATAATTTTCCAGCTTCCCCTAGAGATGACAGGTTACTGCATTTCACAGGTAAATTTGAAATCTGGCTCCTCTTTTCCCAAAAAAACCCTGCCACCTGAAAGAACAAGCCTCTATTTAGCCACTCATCAGAGGAAMTAACACAACTCCCCTCACATACTGCAACCTCAGGTTGCAAACTTAACCTGTTCTGAAGAACTAGCTCATGCATATGAGCTAATTTGACACCAGCTGAAACTGTTCCTGCAGACAGCAATTACCAGTGAGGTTGGTTGCAGATGTGCCTTTTTTTTTTCCCCCCCTCTCCTGCTAAATCCAGTTCTCTTGTGCTCCACATTTTTCATCTTCTTTCCAGAAGGATCTGGGCTAGCCTCATCTTGCAGAGCACCAGTTGCAGCGATCCAGCACTCTTGCAGGAGCTAAGCTAGCAAGACACTGCTCCTACTATAGCACAATTCTCTTTCAGGGTAATTTCCAGAATGAGCTCACTGCTGCATTATGTAAATGCCGGCCTTAGGCCAGGAGAAGGGGCAGGGAACCTAAAAAAAGTCACCAAGGGGAGGCTCAGCAATATTGCTAAGCCAACAGAGCAGCAACTCTTGTTCCTCCAGGTGCTGCTCTGTCCCAGGGACTTCCTCCACAGTCCTCAGCCCCAGCTGATACTGGGCAGCTCCAGGGGACTGTAACTGCAGGACGTCAGAGGGCAACGGAACCCCCATAGCCAGTGTAACACGATGGCATGGAAAGGACTTGCCCCTTGCTGAACTTTGGGCCACACCAAGGGTAGCCCATCCGAAAGAGGGCCTCCCTCCAACAATATTTGGGTACAAGTTGGCAACTGCACTCATAGTGAACACCGAGAATCTTCCTGAAGAAAGCTTACCAGATTGGTCCATTCAACATCCCAGGCCAAAGCAGGAAATTTTAGCCTGAAGAGGCATTACAGAGTCCTGTCAAGAAGTACCTTGAACTGTTAAGACTCTTCTGGACAAGCTGGAGCCAACTAGATTGTTAGTSTGCAGTTTCACAATCAGCTTAAGCAGCTCTAATCAAGCCAGCTGTGCAACAAGACTGCTCGAGGAACCATCTGGAGGCAAACCTGTAATTTGGAGTCAGCCTACTTCTAGGTTGCCTTGCTTACACTGATCATGAAACACAGACTTAGAAACTGGAAYTAACTTACATCACCTACATATTTATCATCTCGGAGACACCAGTTGGACACCAGTGCAATCTGCAAAGGAGAGGAATACACAGCCTGGGCAAGTAAAACCATACAGATGGTATGTGTCCATCTTTCCTAGCATCAGGAACTTAAGACTGTGCACACCTCTGACTATTCTCAGAGGGGATGAAACTTTCTCTGGAAACATGAAAGGAAAGAAAATTCCTGTTTCAGTGGCAGAAAGTGAGATCCCAAAATGAGYGTGACTCGGTTAGCCACAGGATAGATGTAACACTGACAAATACAAAAGGTTTTCGGTCCGCAGATGTGGAAAAGGTGACAGCAGGTAACCTGCTCCATCTACTACCAGCATCTGTTAGAACTTAGTGCTCTGTTTGCAGGGAGATGTGGGCCTGTCTCCCTCTTCTGGGATTTTCAAAAGGAGCAATGGAGCCAGGGAGCCCTAGCAGACTTAGTCTTCATCCCACATCTTCAGGGACAGCTGGCCGAATTGCTCAACATTGCTCTTAGATACCAAACGACATCTTTTTTCCTCCTGTACAAACAGCACTCTGATGACACTGAGCTTTAACAATAGAGAGGAAAACGCTTTGTTGTTGGCCTTCATTGCAAGATTAGACACAGCTCTTAGGCATGACTGCCCACACTCCGCCCACGTGCTGCAAGGTCTCCCAGGCTCAAGCCAAGCAGCGCCCCTGGCTAACAGCGCATCCTAGGGCATGGGGTGYGCTGCGGGTTAGTAACGCTTCTGCTTTGCATGCTGCCTCCCACAACAAGGGCTAAGAGGAAACAATTCTCCCCAAATTTCCTGGGACTCTAGCTCCTACCTGGGATCACGCTGTCACGCTACTTGGTGTGGAGCCCTAGACCTCACCTTAGAGATGAGACAGCTTTGCCATCCGTCGATAACGCAGTGCTTCCTAGCAGCCAAGTGGGAAGGTGTGCGTTTCAGGACCCTTGTCGGATCGTGGTGCTGGGAAGGAGGCTGCAAGGAGAGAGGGAAGGCTTGGCCTAGCACAGAGCAGCAGCGGATGCAGAGGTCCAGGRGCACCAGGAAGGGCCACAGCAGGGCGGCGAGGGGCGGCATGGGCAGGACTGAGTTCCTTCCCAGGAACTCAAACTGAACTCAGAAAGCTTTTGAGAGGAACACGCAATGAGCATTAAAGACCCCAAGCAAAAGGGGATGAGCTAAGATCTGACAGGGTCCATTAGATGTTCCCCATCATTTCCAAATGAGTGACTTTGAGACTTTTAAAATACACCAGTTCACCAAAAACATGCCAAACTTAGCAATGTGCATGTCTGAAACAAGGAAGCCTGCGGTGACAACATGCACCTCCTCTTCCAGCATGAGGCTTTCCTTGAAGGACAAGCATCTTCTTGCCAAAGGCATGAAGAGCAGTGGATCAAGTAATCCCATCTTCTCAGTAAATGATAAAAGGAACACTATACCTAGTGTGCCAAACTACCAACATCAAGTGTTTCACCGTAAGGAATTTATTTATTTCTATATAATCTGTAACTGGACTCCTCTTACCAATTAACAATCATTACACATCTTCTTCAGACTTCATAAATCAAACACATGAATTGAATTTTAGGGTTTAGAAACAACTGAAAATAATGAGCAACTTGAGCAATTGCAGAAGCACAAGAAAGAAGCACAGAACAGGCTGCAAAGACGCTTCRGAGTCCATTACACAGAACAGAAATAACTGCAAAGTCTGCTCGTAAACACAGAGCTCCTGTTTATCAGCTGCAGAGAGCATGGATGGAGAGTCAGAGCAAGGCCTCTGAAGCAGGGCAGAAGGAGGCTGCATTCCCTCCACGCGTGGGAAGAGCTCTATGATCATCCCGCTACTAGCAGCTCAACAGAGAGGCATCTTCCCACAGCATGCAAACTGGAACCGCATGAGATGCTGTCACCCAAAAGCCTCTGGGCTAATCCTCCAACTGGAGGCATATTCTTTTTTTCAAGTCTACCAAGTCTATAATGAATATTTCTCCCAGGCAAATTTATCCTCCTCTTGGCCTGCATAAAACAGCTGACACACAGTCTTCTACAAGGCTGATTCTGAAGAAGTTGCTACACCGTGGTGACAATCAGATCTAAAAATCAAATAGTTTTACATTTGAGCTGGGCCAGACTGAATTGGAAGAGACCACCAAACCACCTGAAGTATTCTGCAGAGCTGTCAAAAAGGTGTGGGGACATTAATCTTCATTTCTACCCTCTCCAAGTAATGTCTTACATGAGCTCCAGAAGTAACTAGACTAAGTCTGAATTAAGAAAGTAAATAAATAAGCATCATTATAACTTTACAGGCAATACCTGGGGTTGCAGGATGAATAAGAACAGACATGTTTTTAATCAGTTTGCCACACTGAGAACTCTTTTGAGCAAGAATACGRACAAGTTGAAACAAACTCGTTACTAAGAAAGAAAGAAGGAAAGAAAGAAAATCCACTGGTGTTCTTAAAACATTTAAATCACAGTTTAAGTAGTCAGACCAACTATTCAGATTCTGCATCAGTTTCTTTCCCTTTCTTTTTCTCCCTAAAAAGTAACAATAGTCTTAAATCAATATTCTTACCTGCCCTGAGTATGTTTATGTAAAATGAAAAGGCTTTCAGAAAGAATAGATATAACACAGCCTGAAACATATTTGCTTTCATTACAAGTGTGAAATCACCAGTCTGCCAAAACCCTGACAAAATTAAACAACAGAGTATTTAAGATTGGATGCAACTGCAATATTATCCACGCTACTGCTAGAAATTAGCTTTGGCAAAGGATGGTGAAGTAGAAAGACAAAGCCCAAAACAGAACCACAAAATAAAACTAAAACAAGCGACTATAGAAACAACAGTCTCTTCTTTTGGTGCTGATGTTGAGTTTTGGAAAAAGAAGAAAGAGACATTAGGAAAAAAAAGGACAAATTAAGTTTAAGAAAAGGGAAGGAAATATAAAAAAAAAAGTGATCACTACCAGTGAGAGGACTTGTTTTGGGCTCACTCTTCAGTTTGTCCATATTCAGTTTTTAACTACAATAGTAAGAATTAAGATATTGCTGCTAAATAATACTAAGATAATCAAAGAGCAGCATAGTAGCACAGGAATTTCTGCAAATAAAGAACTGTAACCTTGGAGCACATTAGGCATGCAAGTAATTTCCATTATCTTGAATTAGTCTAGCAGCAGGGCACCTTCTTTATTACAATAGTTAATTGATATGGAATTAATCACTGGATTCATACACTTTTTACCTGAAGTGTTAGGAAATGAAAAGCATTGTAGCTTCAAAGAAGAATCAGACCCTACCTCTGCTATTAAAAATCTTCCTCTACCATGAAAGATTAGAATTACACCAGAAAAACACACATAAATGCAACTAAAACTTTTTTTTAAAAGTTTAAAAGTTTTTTTTTTTAAAAAAAAGAAAAACAGTTATACACATTTGTGAATTACTGTAATATAACTAAATCCATTTTTATATAAACAGCATAAACAGCAACAACAAAAATCCTTAAAACAAAATCCTGTCCAAAGAATATGGGCAGAAAATTTGGTACATCACAGGAAAGAATTGTTACAACCCATGTTCCTTCACAGCATTTTATAGATTTGTTTTTGTTTCCCGCTTTCCCCCCATTTTTTTTTTTAAAGCAACTCTGGGGAAAAAATATCCTCTAGGATTATGTTTTCTTTTGATTTGACATTCCTCATCTGAAGTCAAAACACTGGTTACTACACAAATTCTTAACATTACCTGTGCTGAAAACAGAGCATTCTGATTAACTGAGATATGAGGACAATGTATTCTGTTGTCACTCCAGTTTTCTAGGAACAAAATAAAAGGAAAACAAATCAAAAAGTTTCTTTTTGAACAYTTCTCCCCAAATTACCAGTGCTAGAAGTAAACACTGATTTTCTTTGGATATAGTCTTAAAACACAAGCATTCCCTATGCTTTTGAAATATTTATGGTCAAGGCTTGAGTACCACCATAGTTCATGGAAGAAGTGACAAGGTTCAAATGGCACCTTATAGTTTCCCGGTGTGCTGGAAAAAAAATTGTTGCTGCCTGTAAATGGTGCCCTGGGACCTGAAGAGTCTGTCACTGCGGAGCAGCAGGAGAGAATCTGTCAATGCAGGGGGTGACGGCTTCTCAATACAAGCAGCATAGGAAACGCAGAGCCTTTGATGTAAGTAAGTGCCAAGAAAGGATTAAAAGGGAGAGAAAATCAAATGCAGAGCCTTCTGACAGCCCCTGCTCCCTTGCGTGCGTCTTGGGATGCTCCAAGCGGGATGTCTCCCCCTCCCATCCCGTTTCGGGCCTGTCTCAGCACCCACCTCAGAGCACGCAGAGCAGCCGCCGCGGGCGCTGGGCCCCCGGCTCCGAGAGCTGCCCGGGGCAGCACCGGGCACCGGGGCAGCTCCCGGGGCCTGTCTGYTCGCCCGGGGCACCCGCAGCCCGGGCGCCTGCCGCAAGCGCCGCACGGCGCGGCCGGAGCCCCCCGGGAGCCCAGGGCAGCAAAGCAGCGCTGCGGGCACCCGAGGCGCAGCCAGGCTGCTCGCTGAGTGCCGGGGGGCGACGGGGCAGCCCCAGCGCGTGGCCACAAGCTGCCCTTGCCATGCAGGAACAGCCGGGGTCTGGACAGGGAGCCTGGGGTGCTGCGGAGCCYGCTGATGCCCTGGGGATGCGGCCAGACCAGCCGAACGCGGGCGGCTCTGAGGGCGCAAGGAGTTGCCACTGCTTCAAAATAC